AACCGATAGTGACGAGTGATACAACAAGCCTGTAGCTGCTGCTGAAGGCTTTTAACCCCAAGACTCAGACACAGTGAGGATTAGAGAAGTAGAACAGGGAGAGAGGACAGGGACAGGGAACAAAGACGGAAAAGACGAAGTAGAACAGGGAGAGAGGACAGGGAGAACAAAGACGGAAAAGAAAGTGGGAGGGGAAAGAACAGGAGGGCAAAATGGAGACAATGGAGGAAAGATGTGGTGAGGCAAATGAGGATAAAGCTAAAGATGGAGAAAGTGAGGGGAAACCAGGGGAGAGAAGGTGAAGACCAGAGGAGGTGATGGAAGGTGAAACAAGAGGCTGGAACCAGGCCTGAGGATTACTGAGAGCTACAACACCAGACATCCACCAACAAACACAGGCTTTAGTTAGACTCCAAGTAACAACACACACCTACAAGAGAAGGAAACCTCCAAAGTCGCACAACAACATAACTCTTGGGTTGCTCCTGTTCCAAAACAGATGTACAGTGACATTTAACAGTTTGCTTCCGGTGTCAGAGTATTTCCCCCATCATGTCAATGGTGCTTCCAGTTACAAAGACCAAGAAAGGCTGTTTTTAACCATCTTAACAAAAACAATTTGCTTTGAAGGAAAATGGTTTGGCAATTCGACTGTCAACGCTACCGAAACACGCGGTTCATGGACTGAACAAAAATTTTACAGAAAAGGGGTTTAAAAGCCCCCGAGAGAGCTAATTCTGTCTGACTGTCGCGAACGCCCCCAGACACATCTGGAACACACGTCACGGTCCCGAGCAGCGAGACGTGCAGGCAGCACAGCTCCAGTTCAAGGCAGATACAGTGTCATCTAAAAACGAATTCAGTGAGTATGAAGAACAGAATGAAGAAAGCTCTGGGGCTCCCCAACGCCGGCCTTTTCTCAACTCGCTCCAGTGCTGGTGGCTGATTTGTTTTCTTTAATTAAGTTCTGTCTCTTTCTTTTATTTATATTTCTCTCTTTCTTTACTCCACCTCCTTTTTTATTTATTACCAGACTCCACATAGAGTTGAACATACCCACACAACACACCTTCACACACAAACCACAGGCAAAATTCCCCCACATTTTTCTGTAAACGTTCTGTGACCACGTTCAGTGTTTCGTCTTTGTACCGCACTGTTTTGTTGCAAAAACTAAAGAACAGAAGAAAAAGAGGAATTTGAGGGTTGCACATTTTTGTTTTGCTAACTTGAGTTTAGCTACGTGCTGAGACGACTAACATTGAGCTGACACACAACCTGAGGTTAGGGTTACAACCCTCCATCTCAGTGCCCCAAATATGAGAAATTAGTTTCATTTAACCTCATAATAACCATTTATAGGAAATGATTGTGATATCACCGATGAGGGAGGGGGTTATAAAAGGCACAACATTTATGAGTCAGCTGTAAACAGTCCAGACATTGTTATTATCAGCTTATTAACATCAGTGTCTACACTGCGGTGAAGAGTGAGCGAGGGCACTGGGAGGGTCAGACAGTCCTGCAGAAGGAGGGAAAAGGGTTTGAGAGCAAGATCGACAAGACCCTCCAGTGGAGCCCTGAGAGCAGCCCGGAGCCTGGAGGACACACCGATAGAGGGAGGGGAGCCCGGGGCAGCACAATGCCTCAGTGTAGCCCCTCGGTGAGGCCTCGAAACAAGGCACAATGGGAGCACTGTGAGCAGCCCCCCCTCCCGCACTGTCAGAGGTCTCCCCGACACCAGACCTCTCCCCTTTCTCAATAACTAGCACAACAACCTTTTCAGGGGCTGGAGCAACGGTTTGCTCCTCGACCACCGGCTGAAAGAGACCATTCTATGCTCGACCACTGCTGTTCTGATTTTTTTCATTCCACTGCTACCACTGACAAGCTATTAGAGACCTGGAGACCGTCACCACGCTGCTGCTCGCCAGGCCGTGGAGCTTTTTCTGGTTCCTAAAGGCTTGTGGGTAGAGCTGCAGAAAACAAAAACCAAAGGGGTGAAAATGTTGTGCATTCGACGTGACAAAGTGCAGAGTTCAGCAACTTCTGGATAAATGGAAGGAGCAAGTTCAGGAAAAGAAAGAAGAATGAAAGAAAGTGTGGGATGAATAATACAACACCGAGATGACCATCAATGATTCATTGACCAGAGTGGAATGCACCTTAAAACTGAGTGTGTCATGAGAGAGCGTCCATTCTTAAAACCAGCTGGAGCCGGTGAAGCCCCTCTTCTGGGATCCCAAAGCCAGAACAGGTGAAGACGCCCTTTCATTCATGGACCACGTCGGCAGCAGCCATTAGCCAAATGGAGCGACTCAAATCCAGCGGCCCCTCAAGCTGCTCTTGTTGGTTGGGTTCAGTAATGGTTTCTGCCACTGACAGACAAACTGTGAACATCTGCTGACCTGTCAGACAGACTGCTGACCTTTCATTCACCTGTGTTCAGTTCCACAGGATGCAAACACCTGTTCTCATGCCACCTAACTAGTAAATCATAGTCAGCCAAACATTTTCTAATAGGGCGAGAAAAGAAAATTCACAACAATGTTTATTTCATGGGTCTAAAATCCCCAAATTCTTCCTTGATATTTAAGCCAGTTCTTGAAGAGTTCTTGGAAAGAACTGTGGAATGTGGTACTAGTTACAGGAAGAGAAAGACTCCAGTTGATTTACCAGTAATTTGTCAGTTTTTATTAATCGATAGTGTGATTCGAAGAGTCCAGGATGCAACCACATAATTCAAAACATATGGAGAATTAGGTTTCCAATATAATAAATTAATTCCAAATAAACACTAACTCGGGTTTAAAAGAATGATTTGAGATGTTGGCAAATATGCTTATTGGCTATAACTATATGTTCTTATCGACGTTGCCTGCCCGGGAACCAGAGCATCACACTGACATAACTGCTCAGCGTGTTTGGAAAACAGCGAGGATGTGTTCCCAGAATCTGTGCTGACTTTCTGTCCTTTGTCTCGTGAGAAGGACGAACAAGACACTTCAACAGATTAAAGCCTCATCACGCAGACGGACACTCTGCTGAAGTGTCCCTGAGCCAGACGGTGCATCACCGGGCTGAAAATGACCTCTGACCCCCTGTGGTGGCGCCTGAGCACAAAGGCAATTTGCCTGCAATGATTTTTAAAGTGTCCAATTATCATCCTCTACATGGGAAACGCCATAATTTGTCATCCATCATTCAGTCGGAGTCACTGGACACAGGTTGTTAGTTATTCTGTTTAACTAGTTTTTTAATTGTTTCCATTTTTCTGGAGTTTTTCTTTACTTTTCAACTTTATGGCTCTCTTAGGGTCGATTTCTCGTCTTTGCTTTTCGCTTTTTTCTGTTTCCATTTTTTTGTCCCATTACCAGTTTTTTTTTTTCTGTCTGAGTTCTTGGTGAATTTTACATTTCAGTTTTTCTGCTTCTGTTTTGTTTGTTGGTGTTTCCTGTTTTCTTTTTTTGTGTGTTTCAGTTTCTCAGTTCCTTTCCGTCTGTTTCCTCTGAACATCTGATGAAAAGTTGGCTGGATATAAATAACAGAATCAAACGATAATGAAATTACACACAGCCACACACAGTGGACTGATGACAATAAAGCACAGGATGAACCGCCAACCCTAAAAAAAAAACACACAAAAATAGCTTATAAGAACATTACCAGTATTTAGTCAGGGGAAAGTGAGTTTCTGTTTCCGTTTCTGGCCTCGGCTCTCACAGCTCTGTACGTCATGCTGCTGTTCTCTGGTTTTTAATCTGTGTTTACATCCTCTGTCACTCTGCAGAGAACTGAGTGACGAACCCATCTGTGTTTTACAAACACATTTTATTTGACTTGGAAAAGAAACTGGCACAAAAAAGACTCACAGCTGCAGGAACCAGCAGACTTATCAGTGGGTCTGAGAACAAACAGTGCATTATCGCAGGTCTCTCTCTGAAGGCCTTGCACACTGCAACCACATGACTGGAGCTCAGCTATCCAGGGGAGGGGGCTACATCCCCTTAATCACTAAATCGCTGCCTCTCCTGGACTCCTGTAAAGCTCTGAGATGGTCCCTATAACTGACATTAAGTGAAAGAAGTTTAAAAACAGAGCCATAGGAAACCAATTTCTCCCAACAGCAAACAAACTGCAAACAACCCTCAGCTTTTCTCCACGGTGCAGAAAACCCATTAACTTTGTCTGAAAGGTTCATGTGGATCAGGCTTGTGACCGCATGTTGTGAAAGGAGGGGGCAGAGCGACAGCCAGGGACAAATCCTGGCAGAGAAGGGGCATTTCAGAAAAGAGAAAATCCCTCTGGAGTCGAGAAGCAAAAAACACAAGGCTGAGCATCCCTCCTCCTGCCGCAGGTGATTACTCTGGGCGCCAGGAGAAGTGCCGCCTCAGCGTTTGGCGTAAAGCCTCTGTCGCATGCCAGAACAAAAACAAACGCGTGGGTTTGACCCCAGTGATGGAGGAAAAATGGCTGGCGTCGCATCAGACCCTTGTAAACACTTCCCTGCTTCTCACCTTTAGTCAATTGAGCATCTGTTGTCTGCATTGAAGGTTAATTAATGGTTTGAACGACCAAAGGGAAGCGAGCCGATCCAAACATAATTAAATATGGATTCATGCACTTTAGGTGCCGTTTATCTCAGGGGCCGACATGACGGGCAGTGGTGTTAACGAGAGGAGGGCACACTGTACTATTTAACATTTTATATCGAAGATGAGGGAAACTGTTGGTTCAG